GATGTTCCACAGCATCTTGGGGATGGTGGTGGAGGTGAAGCAGATGTCTACAAAGGACAGGTTGGCGAGGAAGAAGTACATGGGGGTGTGGAGATGGGAGTCTGAGCTGACGGCCAGGATGATGAGCAGGTTCCCAAGCACAGTGATTAGGTACATGCAGAGGAAAAGCCCAAATATGATGGGCTGTAATTCTAGTTCCTCTGATAATCCCAGAAGAGGAAACTCTGAAATTCCTGTGTCATTGTCTGCTTCCATGTGGTGGTGGTGACTACAAGGAAAGAAAAAAAAAAGTACTTAAAATTTTTCAAGTAAATAGGCTTCATTTTTTTATTACTCTTTTTTTTTTCATTTCTTAAAGTTTTTCTTTAAATGTTAGTTAGTTAACCTACAGTGTAATATTTGTTTCAAGTGAACAATATTGTGATTCAACACTTCCATACAACACCTGGTGCTCATTAGAAGTGTCCCCCTTAATCACCATCCCACATTTGATCCATCCCCAACCACCTCCCCTCTGGTAACCAGAAGGGTATTCTCTGTAGTTAAGAGTCTATTTCTTGGTTTGTCTCTTTTCTCTCTTTTTTCCCCTATGGTTATTTGTTTTGTTTCTTAAATTCCACATATGACTGAAATCATATGGCAATTGTCTTTCTCTGACTTATTTGTCTTAGCATAATACTCTCTAGCTTGATCCATGTCATTGCAAATGGCAAGATTTCTTTTTGTTTTATGATTGAGTAATATTCCATTATATATACATATATGCATATATATATCTCCTACACACTTGTGAAAGAAATTGAAGAAGACCAAAAAAGATGGAAAAACATTCCATACTCATGAATTGGAAGAATAAACATTGTTAAAATGTCTATGCTGCCCACAGTAATCTATACTTTCAACACCATCCCGATCAAAATAACAATGGTATTTTTCAAAGAGCTGGAACAAACAATCCTAAAATTTGTGTGGAACCAGAAAAGACCCTTAATCACCAAGGAAATGTTGAAAAAGAAAAACAAAACTGGGGACATCATGTTGCCTGATTTCAAGCTATATTAGAAAGCTGTGATCACCAAGACAGCATGGTACTGGCACAAAAACAGACACATAGATCAATGGAACAGAATAGAGAGCCCAGTCCATATCTGGTCAACTAATCTTTGACAAAGCAGAAAAAAATAACAAATGGAAAAAAGACAGTCTCTTCAATAAATGGTGCTGAGAACAGTGGACAGTTATAAGCAAAAGAATGAAACTGCACCCTTCTCTTATACCTACCAAAGATAAACTCAAAATGGATGAAAGACCACAATGTGAGACAGGAATCCATCAAAACCCTGGAGGAGAATGTAGGCAGTAACCTCTTTGACCTCAGCCACAGCAACTTCTTCTTTTTTTAAAAATTTTTTATTGTTATGTTAGTCACCATACATTACATCATTAGTTTTCGATGTAGTGTTCCATGATTCATTGTTTGTGTATAACACCCAGTACTCCATGCAGAACGTGCCTCCTTTAATACCCATCACCAAGCTAACCCATCCTCCCACCCCCCTCCCCTCTAGAACCCTCAGTTTGTTTTGCAGGGTCCATCGTCTCTCATGGTTCGTCTCCCCCTCCGATTTCCCCCCTTCATTCTTCCCCTCCTGCTATCTTCTTCTTCTTCTTCTTCTTTTTTTCTTAACATATATTGCATTATTTGTTTCAGAAGTACAGTTCTGTGATTCAACAGTCTTCCACAATTCACAGCGCTCACCATAGCACATACCCTCCCCAATGTCTATCACCTCGCCACCCCATCCCTCCCACCCCCCACCACTCAAGCCACCCTCAGTTTGTTTCCTGAGATTAAGAATTCCTGTCAGTGAGGTCATATGATACATGTCTTTCTCTGACTGACTTATTTCACTCAGCATAACACCCTCCAGTTCCATCCACGTCGTTGCAAAAGGCAAG